ACTTGTTTTGATTTTTTCTATATCGTCTGTTTCTGGAGCATCAGTTGAGACAGTGCCAGCATCATCTAGCCTTGATGCTTCCATGTCATTAACATCGTTAATGAGTGAAAGCTCAACGTCCTCTTCATTTAACTCATTTTGTATTGGCTCCTTTTCTTGATTTTGTTCCAAAGGAGCAAATGCTGCTTGAGTTAGGCCTGCAAAAAGAACTAAGATTACCACTTGACCAAGATTCATGATTGAAAATGCAACTACACCGTATGCTCCCAATCTGTGAATCTGCCTCACTTATATACAACTAAATCAACTAATGCAGGAAGTTTACTATCTACACACGTTATAAATAATGTTATACTATACTACTGATTATAGAGTTACTCTTATTAAAGTGTGACAGTCAAGCCGTTCTTGTTTTTATTGAAAATAATGAAGTCGTAATCTTGGCAAAAACAATTAGAATTTTGATAATTATATAGTTGTAAAATAAGCTTTCATGTTTATTGTATATACGATTGAAAGTGTGATGATAACAACATTAGATAGATCTGTGGCCAGTTTTGGGTTTAAACTTGTTTGTCAGGATATTGCTAACGCATCGTGGCAAAAACAATAAGTTTGTGTGTGATTGTTTATGAGATTTATATAGTCAATACCGGTTGCTGTAATAATGGTATCAACCTCATTCGTAAAGCTATAGCATTATAATCTGATTTGTTGTTTCAGTTACTAAACTGACGAAAATGATGCAATTAATAGTGATAGGTATTTTGGCTTTCTTAGTGCCATTAGCACAATATAGTTTTTTTTCAGTAAGTGGCAAGTACCGTATGTTAATACTGTGTGCATTCTTTGAAGCAATAGCATCTTGTTGTAATTAACAGGTAATTGTACAGCATTTCACTAAAATAAGAAATTACAACTATTTGGTTGTTTTTTATACTGAGAAGTCAAATTCAGAGCTAGACTATATGCTTCTACTGTATACAATGGACAGTCAAAGTGATGACAGATCAGCTACTGCTACTCTCATTGTTGGCCTTGCTCTACCAATATAATATTGGAATAATCATACCGTCTCTAGTTCTGAATGGGCTCATTCTGGTAACATTTGCTAAGACAAAGAAATGTCGCACACCTTCCAATTTACTTTCTGTTCACATGTCCATCATTGGCCTCATTTCAATATTATCCTATAGCACTCTATCTCTGCCAGCGTTTACTCTCTCTATCATCAACTGTGATTGTGATTTGACTTACTATAAATGGATACTAGCTCATATATTCCATTTCGCTCTCTATCCTTTTAATATCACAGCAATTACTGCCTAATACTCAAGTACTCATCATCCATTCTTACATTCTGTCGTGTAGTAGCAGTTCTCATAGGCATATGGATCATCCCAATACTTGGTAATTTTCCCACTGTATTTCTTGTTCCTTTCAATGATTTTGTTACATGCTGTGAAGGACTGTGTTTCAATTACACTTATATGTTTGTGATCACCTAATAGGAGCGTTTACTCCCAATCTGTTTAGCATTGAGTCAGAAGTTTTTTTCATCATTCAAGATTCAAGATTTTGCATTTATGATAGTTCCTTGCATACTTGTAATTGTCTTTACAGTACTTTCATACTACATTTTCAAGTCTTCAGTTATTCAGCCCAATAACTCCCTCAAGAGGAGAATGTTCCTGCTACCAATAGTGATGACAGTGGCTGATATAGTCTTCATAATTGGACAGAATATTGTAAATTGGGTACCACTTACTACGCAAATCAATAATGTACCAGAAGATATTGTTCCTCTTGTTTTTGGGCTGAGTTGGGACCTAAGCAACCTTGCATATCCAATAATTATTTTATATTTCAATGTTCCCCTAAGAAAAGCATGCTGGAGTATCATCAAGTGTTCCAATTACTCTCAAGATGACCATAAAACAACTACGTCAATAAGAGTAACTCAAAATAATTGTGCTGCTATTGTTTAACATTAAAATTAATTAATAATGTTTTGCACATAAATGGCATTATGTAAAGTAGTTTCATTTACTCTACTATGACCTTTTGATCTATGCCCTTATAAACACGCCCATTTTGTGCCCACAACAATAAAAGACACGTGTAGATATAAAGAAAAAGTGATGAAGGCTGACCTTCGTTCTGCTGCAATTGTCTGCGGAGCCCTAGCTGGGGTTATTGGAAGCGGGGCAGTCTTGTGGCGTTTGTGGAAACTGAGAATAGGCTGTCGTGGCAATGAAAATCCTTACGAGACGTGCAAACTTGTAGACGAGTACATGGCTCTTCACTATGCCGCACCTTCAGAATATTTTACGTACACTTTCGGTCCAAAGGAGGCTGTAGACTTTCCACTTCGTTGTGCTCAACTGTGTAAGAGACACAAGAGTGTAAGTATTGGTGATGGGTGTGGTTAAAATATTAACACATGATAGTGGAAGTAGTGTGATAAGGGGCATTTATATTTTGTTCAGTTGGGCATAGTTGGGAATATTGGATGTTACATTGGGTATTAGCCAGTATAAAATCTGTCGTCACTAAGCCAACTATATATGCCAATGATATCACTGTAAGGGCAATCAGTTTTAATCATAAATCAGAAAATTCTTTATCGCAATAATTATTTCTGTTGACTCTAATGTGCATCATTTTCATGTCTATATGCAAATTCACTTTGTTACAGCTCATACTTATTATTGTGATTAATTAACGGGTAATTTTTCACTTTAGACTGCAGTTATATCACGTGCTCTTGACGTGGGTTGTGCCGTTGGTCGTTCAACGTTTGAGCTAGCGACTGATTTTGACGAAGTGATCGGTATTGACTTTTCACAAGCTTTCATTGATAAGGCTAGAGATATGGTTAGAGACGGATCAGCTCCTTACCATATGACAGTTGAAGGAGACTTAACCTCTGACATGGAAGCCAGAGTCTCCTCTAACATAGTGAGTTTATACTTAGGACACTTAGGCTATATCTACGTTTAGTTAGAAGAACTTATATCATTGTAGTTATCATATCATTGTAGTTATCATATCATTGTAGTTATCATATCATTGTAGGAGTACAATAGTATGACATGATTGTTGGAGCTCACCCAAACCACACCCTTAATTTATGGCTATTATTTTGTAAATTATTTTTACTTAGTTGAGTACCACATGCTATTTTATAGCTGGTCAGCATTAGTAGCCATCCTTAATAATGTGTACAATAATGTGTACCATCCCATCCTTAATAATATGTACCATCCCATTCCTTAATGATATGTACATTCAATCCCTATAGGAAAGGAACAGGGTCAGGTTCAATGTTGGTGATGCATGTTCTTTACCTGATGATCTGGGACAGTTTGGTCTCGTACTTGCTGCCAATCTTATCTGTAGACTCCCAAGACCGTTGGACTTCCTTAACAAACTCAAAGACCTTGTGGTACCAGCTGGCATTTTAGTAATAACAAGTCCATACACATGGCTGGAGCAATACACTCCTAAGGTAAGTTCTTTCCAAGTTAAAACAGGGTTTCCCACAAAGCATGTTAAGTGAGCTAAACAGCAGTGGAGTTTCTGATGCCCAGGCCAGAAAAAAAATAATTGTTGTGCGAAGCATGTCGAAAAGTTTTTATGCTTTTAATGATATTCATGATGGGCATGGTCAATTAAACCGCTGAAAAATTGCTACTTAAGCCCAACATCCACTATGGCAACTTTGTTGAAAGCAACTTTGTGGTTACTTTGATGTATGTCAACTTTGTTGCCAAAAGTAGAACAGTGTTCTACTTTTGGCAACAAAATTTCTGTTGATTTCAACAAAGTTGCTTAGTGGATGTTGGGCTTTAGAATTTGAATGAGATTACTGGTTTTTGTGATAGATGTCACAAAATACTATTGCCAAGCAATCAAAATCAAGGAAAGAAGTCATATTCTTGTAGAGCAGTGCTCAATAATCAGTGGTAAACAATTGACTATTGATATTTCAACTGCCTAAATATATTTGACCTGGGGTCTGATACCCCTGGGCCCAGGCCCTGGTGTAGCTACGCCACTGCTAAACAGCATGCTTCATGATGTGACAAAAGCACTACACTACTACATGTACGTAGCATTTGGATTTTCATCAGAATGAGCTCAAACTTTCTACACAACATAAAGACATGTATTTGTATCAGGAAAATGTATAAAATTTGAGAATTTTCTCCTCGTTTTTTTGGCAAAATTCGACCAAAGTTCCTCTATTGGGACTTTGGCCCAATTTTTGAGCAACTTTAAAAATTCATAAAAATCCAGATTTGATTGGCATAAGCTCAAACTTTCTACGCGACATAAAGACATGTATATATATATATATATATTGGAAGAAATTATGAAAATAGATATTTCTTTTCTAGTCATTTTTGGCGAAATTTGGCCAAATACCCTTTACCCTTACAAAGTACAGGGACTTTGGCCCAATTTTTGAGAAACTTTAAAAATTTATTAAAAAATTCGTTTTTGATTGTAATGAGCTCAAACATTCTGCACAACATAAAGTCATGTAAATCTGTCAGAAATTATTATAGAAAAAGAAATTTCTCTCCTAGTTGTTTTGGCAAAATTTGGCCAAATACCCTGTTACAGGGACTTTGACTTGATTTTTGAGCAACTTTTAAAAATTCATTAAAAATCCAATTTCGATTGGATTAAGCTCAAACTTTCTACGCAATATAAGGACATAAATATGCTTCAGAAAAAAATATTATAAATGGAGAATTCTCTTATAGTGATTTTTGATGAAAATTGGCCAATGGCCTAATGACCATGTACTCTTGCCATTTGGAGCAACTTAAAATTCAAAATATCCACCAATAATTTGACCAAAATCCTGTGGGAAACTCTGACTTTTAAATAACACTATTAAATCACCTTAACACGTACTGTAAAGATATGATATTTATTTTTCATTGTGCAGAGTTACTGGATTGCTGGTTTCATGCAAAATGGCGAAAGGAAGAGAGGCTTTGATGCTCTAAAGGACATCCTTTCTCCTGATTTCATTTTATTAGAAGAAGATAATATGCCGTTTTTGATACGTGAGACATGTCGCAAGCATCAGTGGACAGTGGCTCATGCAACAGTATGGATGAGAAGAATCCAATGAGACTATCAATAGACAAGAACCTATAATCACAGTATTATATGCATGATGCTTACTGTTCTATTGGTTATTAGAATTTGATACTTAAATTAATTATTATTGGGACATTTTAATGTCTCAAAAATCAAGTAATACTGAGAATGCATACAAGTACATAAAACAGTGTATATAGTGTATATGAACAGAAAATAAGTGAGCTAAAAATACAGGCATAATAATATTAATCACATAAATAAGTAATAAAGATAATTCTATTATTAATAGATTGATTAAACTACAGTAGGATTATTGTCACTTGTCTTATTTTTCTTGAGTCTTTCACTTATCTGCAATACTATGTAACAGATTCCAGTGAGTAGTATTATTCCAATGACAAGCCATATCTGTTGGCATGTCTCCATAAGAATAGCTGTTGTGTAACTAGTGACAAGACCTATTGCCATTCCAAGTCTATAGAAAGCAAACAGCTGTTCTTTCTTTTCTGGTAACAGAATACCTCCGATCCCTATTTGAGTGTAGGAGAATCAGAAGATCATCATTTATAGTTACAGAACAAAAAACATCTTGCTTGTAATGAGTTTCATACCTGGTGCCAATGTCATAATCATGCTCTCTCCAACGGCCCATCCAATTGTTAATAAAAAGATGACAAGTATTTGAGGTGTCCTCTCCAAATAAAGGAGGCACATACACATACCAGTTGATAACAGCAAGGCTAGGAATACAACTAGCGGTTGTGATATACACTTGAGTGCTTTTCCTGTCATGAATGTGACTATGCCACCTGTTAGACCATAGGCGGCATGGGCAAAACCAAGCCACTTCACTCCTATACAATCTGAAATAAAAACCTAATCATAAAGAAATAAGCTTAATTTTAATAATTAATAATGCATATGTAGCTTTTATTATTTTAATTAATTTACTGTATTACTTTTGAAAAATCGCCAGTGATGTATCCTAGTAATAGCCCATGAAGAGTGAACATTGGGAAGAGAAGTATCACGGTGACATTAAATAAGCAAGAAATGAGTGATTTCAGAGAAGCATATAATTGCGTTTTTATTGTGACAAATTCCGACTCGGATTTGAAATTGTCCACAAATACTAAAATAATGAAAAGCGAAATAATATTTAATAGTGCGTAAATCCCAATTAGTGGATAATACAAGACATCCGAGACTTCATGCCCCTCTTCGTATACACCACAACTACTTGTATCATTTTCTATAAAACTATCATTATAATTTACTGTTGTCTTTAGGTTAAGTAGTACTATTGAAGAGACTGAGGCACCCACCATGCCTGACACTTGAACAGATACGCCTGTGGTGCTAGCAAGAAGGACCGTACAGTTTTCTTTCGTCTCCTTGAGGGCATCATGAAATTTTAATGCAGTGGCAGTTGCGTGTGAGTACATCGCGACCCACAGTAAACCAAGAGCGAGGCCTGTCAAAGCTGCTGCAGGCAGCAACGTGAACCAGTGTGGATAGAAATTGGAGAGTGTATAAATGGTGAAAATGATAGATGAGAGAAAGAGAGAGGGCTTGGTCCCTGCCACGCTGACTATGAATGGAGCGAGGAATATGGAGATGATAAGAGTTGAGAAGCTAGTGGCGTTTGTGAGAAGTCCAAGTCCTTCAGTTGCATTGATGCTGCTCTGCATGTAGAGTATCCCTAGGAATGGAGACAAACAGCAAACGACTCCTAGAAACTGTCCTATAATATTTCTATAAGCAGGCAGAATCATCCTTAACACGGGGAAGAAACAAAGAGCTAATTAACCTACCCCCCAAAATAATTAGTCTGGGCGACATACCGGTAATCTACTAGTCTGGCTGGTCCAGGTCTGGTCCAGCCAGACTAATAATCCACAGCAACAATCATAATTATAGACCAGTTGGTGCTAAGTATATTCATAGAATTTTAAGTATATTTATTGTGATGCCGTAAATAAAGTAAAATTTTCTTTCCGCCATTTTGGAGTCCTACTTCCAATGGTTGTCTATGGAGCGATCGTGAAAAGAGCTTTTTCTCCAAAAACTGCTGTATTTATTCGTTACAGCAATATTGCTACTGCTTACTGACCATCATCCAGTGTCTAGAGTTGGCTCATGGACTTTAATAAGTACCACTAGAAGATATAGAAGCAAAGATAATTACTTTCTCCCATTCTACTCTTAGTGACTAAGACTCCAAAATGGCGGCAGGAAAATTTTACTTTATTTACGGTATCACGATGAATATACTCAAAATTCTATGAATATACTTAGCGCCAACTGGTCTATACTAGTAATATCTCAGTATGGTGCAGTGATGGTTTGTACACGTGATTCATTAGATAAACTGGAAACAAGTATTTAGATCTAGTTTATTATATAAATACTATTATTGTGTTGCTGCTGTTTGTTGATAGTGTTCTTGCAGTCTTTGTGAGACACGCTGAGTGAACTTTATATATTTATCCAAACAGTGAGAACAGCACTCACTCTAAAAAATATATAAGACAAATATAAGAGGAAAATAGCAACCAAACAATGAGTAGAGGTGATATAACAATTAAGGTACAAGGGCCACCACACAGTAATTTACTTATTTAAACTATAAATATTTTCTGTATCCACTTAACAAGGTGAAAATTATGCAAAAATTGTCGCTCACTTTGAAACACTAAACCCTACTGAACCCCAACTCTAAAACCAACTGTATAAGTGGTTTTTTGAGGGAATTATATTTCACAAAATCTACTAAATTCAAATTCCAATTTGTAAATTTTAATTTTGTGGATTCTACCACATGTCATGTGGGTACTGTATTAAATTGATTTTTGCGGAATCTACAAAATTTGCATCCCTCAAAAAAACCACTTACTGTATTTCCTCGAATAGACCCCGCGGCTACTATTAATTTCAGGAAAGATAATATGAGGCTATTATTCGAGGGCGGTACTATTTGAGGGCGGGTACTAATAATTTCAACTGAGGCTAATAATTTTATCAGTTAATCTGTAAGGCCTTAATCTTCTGTCAGTAGAAGTCTTTCTTTACTACCTAGAGATGTTTAGAGAGCAGCTCTAGCTACTGGAAGCTTTTTAACTCACGACAGAATGCCCAGCAATAGCAGTAGTACTCTGGTAGTAAGTGACATTCATCTTCTTGATTATTTACAGTGCTTTCGACAACTAGATCAACCAACCAAGGGATCAACTATTTACTCAAGTTAATTTAATTAAGCTCAGTGCATAGATACTGGCATCATATTATGCTGCATGTGCTGGCACACTCAGCGCTATTAATAATGCCACGCCCAAAATGTATTAAAATTAAAGTATGCGGGTACAATTAGAGGGCGGCTACTATTTCACTCAAAAGTTTACAGGTGCGGGGACTATTCGAGGGCGGGTAATAATCAACGTGCGGGGTCTATTCGAAGAAAATACGGTATATGGTATACTCTAAATAAAAATAATTATATATGTGAGTGTGCCACACCTTTACCAGTGCCATCTTCTTTGTGACCCGAAATTACTAAACATTTTAATTGCCATCCACTTTAAGGTGCAAGTTCAAGTGTAAATTAAAAACCAAGTACTTGTCGGAATAATAATTATAACCAAACTTCATAGTCACAAGCCCATAATTAATACTTCAAACATACTTCATCTTTCGTGATCTTTCTTGTAGTAAAGTCATGTATACAATCACCAAAACAACTTTCAGTCACTTGGTTATACGTAGAGAGAAACTGCTTAAACTAAAGAAACACGTTACAATAAGTCTGAGTATACAATTATACTTGTGAGATCTCCAGTTGGCTTTTCTGCTCAGGAGTGAGGCCCTCCATCTTGATTCTTACACGTGGGTGGTGCATGGGTCAGATAGGTGTGTGACCGTGTGTCAGCAGTCCAACCAATGAATATTGAGTACAATCATGGCGGAGTGTCCTGGAGAATCCGGCTACCATTTGATGAAATCTTTCCATGATAAGGCATATGCTGTCATTAGTGAAGCATTGGATTTGGATGAGTTGGGGCAAGGTTAGTATTGAGGCCAAGAGGCAGCCTATGGAATGAGTTTATGTGCTAGCTAGTAGATCATGCTAACTGTTGATCTAGACAGTAGCCTATTAAAATTTGCCATTTACTAGTAGGAAGCAAAGAATTAGCTATTGATCTATACTCCCAGGGAGCAGCGGAGTTGGAGAAAGGGGTTTGCGTGACTGTAGAGCCATCAGGTAATGAAACACTATTTCTGAGATTTGTTCATTGTTTATAATTGTTAAAAATTTCAATTAACACCTTTGAATGTGATACTTTTGATAGATATTCACTTTACTAAAGCTGAGAAACTCCGTCAGAGAATGCTTCAGAATCTTGAAATGGCAAAAGGAAGAGTTGAGGATTTGTGTAAGTTCAATTTAGCTATGATAGTAGTTTCTATTTAATTTTAATCATTTGAGTGCACATGCAGGAATCATGATTTTACACCTGTTCACACCACGATCTTGTTTTTTAGTAGGAGGAAAAGATTTAAAAGGCTCGTCAAATACTTCTTTAGAAGGTGACAGAAGACATGGAGATGAACCTGCAGCAGTTAATAAACATGAAGTATCCAGAACTCAACATGATGGAGGGAGATCTAACTTGAAAGTGTCATCATCAAAGAATAATCCATCATTAGACCCAACCCCTTCACTTCGAAATTTTAGACAACAACCAGCTCCTTCAGCTAGAGCAAGAGTAAGAGAGAGGGAGGGAGAGAGAGAGGGATGGAGGGAGAGGAGGAAGAGAGAGAGAAAGAGAGGGAGAGAGGTGGGAGGAGGGAGAAAGGGAGGGAGGGAGAAAGGGAGGGAGGGAGAAAGGGAGGGAGGGAGAGTGTATGTTCATGCTACAGTACATAGGCTAAGAGTTGCTGTGATGCTTGTTGTTCACAACGTGCAGGTCAATCCTACTCCTTACAATAAACCTGAGACTAAGAAACCTACCCACAGTACAAGAGGAGGTCGAGCAGGAGGGGGAGGAAGAATAACAGGAGCAGGCCCCAGCAAAGCAAAGAAGATAGAAGTGAAAGGTGTTGAGCCAGCTCTAGTGGATCTCATATTAAATGAGATTGAAGACAAGTAAAATAGATAGCAATTAGATTAGGTGTGATTGTTTTATATGTAGAGATACTAATGTTACCTGGGATGATATTGGTAATTGCAATATATAAAATAATTATGAATTATTGTTATTATTATGTGGGCAGTTGGTTTGACAGGTGCCAAGAAGTCATTGCAAGAAATAGTAGTCCTCCCTGCCCTTAATCCCCAAGTAAATTTTATAATATTTTAATTTCTGTTTCAATTCCTTTCTTTTTAAAGCTATTTGTTGGCCTAAGAACTCCTTCAAAAGGTCTTTTATTATTTGGCCCTCCTGGAAATGGAAAAACAATGCTGGTATAAAGAATTAAGTTTGTAATGATACATAAAATCATTTAATTTTATAAAAGGCCAAGGCTGTTGCTCATGAATCAAAGTCGACATTTTTCAGCATAAGTGCCTCGTCACTTACCTCAAAATATGTGCGTATACATGTACATGTACACATTACATGATAATTAATTCCTCAACAGATAGGTGAAGGAGAGAAACTCGTCAAAGCAATGTTTGCCGTAGCAAGAAAGCTTCAGCCATCAATAATATTCATCGGTTAGCTTGAGTTTTCATAATAAGCTTGATATTGTTTGTTATTTTAGATGAAGTTGATTCGCTGCTGGGTAAGAGAGGAGAGGGCGAGCATGACTCAATGCGAAGGCTTAAAAACGAGTTCCTCCTTCAGTTTGATGGAGTATGCTATTGATGATTTTGTATTAATTAGCTACCAATAGAGCTGTGGAGTTGAATCACAATATTTTACCTCTTTCTGTAGGTTGGTACTTCTGAATGTGATCGGTTGCTGGTCATGGGTGCTACAAACCGACCAGATGAAATAGATGATGCTGCTTTAAGGTAAGAAAAGGGCCTTGTTCCTATTACAACTTTCCTTTTTCTCACTTTTTCTTTTTAAGACGATTCTCAAAAAGGATCTACATACCCTTACCAAACGAGGAGGTCTGTCCTTTAATAAATGATGTGCTACTATTCATCCTGCCATAGGCTCGTTTTAATTTACTTGTCAAATTATTATCATCTCACAAGTGCAATTTAGCATCACATGAGCTGGACTCCATTGCAAAGTATGTGTATAGAATAACCATGTGACTATGCACTTATTACACTAAAGGCCTTTTAACACTGGCCAAAGTAATGTGCATTGATGCACATTAATCGTGTTCACACTAGAGTGGTTTTTAATCGATGGACATCAATGCCCATCACTCTCACTTCACCTCCAGAGGTGGATTGATGTGAAGTGATGCACTTCTATCAATGTAAACCAATGACAACAAGAACACAAATGGTACATAATTCAGCTGCTAGTGTGAACATGATCAATGGGCATTATTTCAGCTGTATCACTTTGAAAACTGTGTCAGTGTGAAAAGGCCTTAACATTATTATTTGTTGTAGGGAAACTGAAAATTATTCGTTTAGTGATCTCACAGCACTGGCCCGTGATGCTGCATTGGGCCCAATTAGACGTGAAGACATTAAAATAATTATTTAACTTTATTCTGTATTTTTCATTATAGATCTTAATATAGAATCAGTTAGAAGCATCAAACCTGATCAGGTAGAGAGCACAGTTACATTAATGTCATAAAAAATATTAAATATCATACCGATTGGCAAGGATTATTAATTATTAAATTTGCAATTAAAATATGCCATGTTTCATCAATTTACTCTTCCTCCCTTGAAGTGTGAACAAGATGAGGAAGGTGTGAACAAGGTGTGAAAATGGTGTAAACAGGAAAAAATTAATTATCCAAAATTTTTTAGCACCATCTATATGTATAATCCTTTTTACCTTGTATTGACACTATGAATAATATATCTACTGTATTGTGTATACATGTAGGTTCGACCAATCAAATATGAGGATTTCAGAGAATCACTGAATCAAATTCGTTCTAGTGTTACGCCTCATGCAATACAGTCCCTTGAAGAATGGAACAGCAATTATGGAACGAAAACATAGGGAATTATATGCATTTTTAAAAATTAATCTTTTACGACATAACTGTATGCACAATGATTCATTATCAATAATAATTATTATCAATTATGTTAATCGTGATAAGTATTATAAAATTCCTTATAATAACGATCCACTCAAAAATTAGCTGCAATTCCTCTATTATAACAAATTAACAATTGCATAATAATAATAATTATATAATTTTAATAGACACAAAATTTAATTAGTTACGCTGGTCTCTAAAGGTAATGATACAAACTAATGGCACTAGCTTATTTAAATAACAAGTCTTCATCTTCACCAGTTTCAAATATTGTTCTTGCTTCTATAAATATGATGATAGTCATTACATTAGTCTAAATTGGCTGTGTCACTTACCTTCTCCAGATAAAAGCAGCCCTTTTTTCTTTTTCTCCAACTCAGCTTTCTCCTTTTGAAGTTTCTTCTTCTGTTGGATCTTCTTTAGCCTATCACAGGGTATAATGTAGTAGAGCATCATAACAGCAATTTGAAAAGTTAAACAAGCCAAAGGGAGCTACTGTATAGCGGGGAAAGTTGATTTTGGCGATTTTGCTGTAAAAATTAATTGGCGGTTTTTAATTTGGCGATTTTTGTGTACACTTGCATTACTGAGCATGCACATTAATGATTGACGGTTTTAATATTGGAGATTCTGCTTGCAAACTGCCAATCACCAAAATAAGACTCCGCCAACTTTTCCCACTATACGGTATACATGTATATTAATGTAATAAGGGGACTTTCCCTCAACCAGACTACCCCTTAACCCGCTCTCTCTCTCTAGTCCCTACCTGTAGAACTCTTCTCTTTCCATCTCATCCAGTTCAGTTGTAATATATTTCATTGTGTTTTGAATTCGAGGAATAATAACTAAAATAGTACAAAATATCAAGTGTGTCAAGCTTATTCAAAATTCTAATTATCTATTACTAGAAGCACTGACCATGTTCAATAGCATTGACCCTCCTATTGGTAATCTTAATAACTTCATCAAGTGTCACAAATGACGTCTAAAGAATGAAGAATAAAAACCTCCCCGATCAGTTCTTACCTGAAGAGAGGCAAGCTGAATCAAAAGCTCAACAGCTTTACCAAACATCTCCTTACATTTGGTCACTTGCTGACCACCTCGTGCAAGACCAGTCAGTGAAAAACCTTAAGAATAAAAAGGAAAGGATGACAGAGGCAGGGAAGAGAGAAGAAACAAATGAGAAAGAGGTGGAGATGTAAAATATAGAAACAGAGAAATGAGACACAAGCAAAGGTGTAGAGTACCGTATAGCGGGTTTTTTCAAGGATAATAAATTTCGCAAATGACCCATATCCGGAAGTTTGCAGAATTAATTTTCGCGAATTTCCACTAATCTGCCATCTTGTACCGTATTAAATTGATTTTCAAGGAATTTAATTTCGCGAATCATGAAAAAATCTGCGAAATTCGCGAAATTTGTTATCCTCAAAAATTTCCCGCTACACGGTAATTTACTGCTTGTTCCTGCTACTGCTGGTTCAAAGATAGGCAGTGTAACTCCTGCTACATTATCTTTCTTGGCCAATAGTTTAACTTGAGCTTTATCAACATTCTGCAATATCATCTGACTAAATAAAGTATGTAATTTATAGTGAGGTAAGCATTAAATAGTATACCTGAAGTCACCGGCAGAATAGTTAGCAGCTGCTAGTGAAAACTGTGCCTCCCTCATTGCATCACCCATTAAAGTCTTAGTCTAAAACAAAAACACAATATATAAAAATCCAAACTTGATCGGAATCAGTTCAAATTTCTAACACAACATAAATGTTTGTATTACATATCAAAAATATAAAAATGGGGAGTTCTCTTTTTGTCATTTTTGACAAAATTTCATGAAAATCTCTGTACAGGGACTTTGGCCCAATTTTGGAGCAACTTTAAAAATTCATATAAATCCAAACTTGACCAGGATTGGTTCAAACTTTTTACACAATAACATGTATGTGCATCAGATAAAATTATTACAATGAAGAGCTCTATTTTTTCATTTTTGAAAAAATTTGGCCAAACCTCTTGCTATTAGTATGGGGACTTTGGCTCGATTTCGGAGTAACTTTAAAAATTCGTAAAAATCCAACTTTGGTCGGAATCAGCTCAAAATTCTCCACAAATTAAGTACATGTACATGCATTTCCCAGTAGCTTTTGGCAAAATACATCCTACTCTAATACAGGATTCTGACCACATTTCGTTAAACACAAATGAATCAGACCTTAGGGCAAGTAGCAATTCTATGGATTACAGGCTTAATATTTTGTCATTAATATACTTTGTGATGCTACAATGTGCCAACTAGTTTAAAACAAAAGAATAAAAGAAATCGTATTATTTATGAAATAAATCACATTCTTGAGCACTTTAGCTTTAATACTCCTTTTATTTAGCCTACCATCTCTCTCTTTCTCACGATACACAAAAATCATCTACAACAAACTCACTTCTATGATTTTTGTCAAAATTTGACGGAATCTGAGGGTGAGGGCATCAGCTTTCTTCTTGAGGAGACTGTGCCCTTTCTGAGCTCCTTTAAGTCTACCCTTCATCTGTGTGAGGGCCCTGGCGTATAACAGAAAGTATTAATACTAAGTAAAGATAATGGACAAAGAGGGGCTCTTACATTCTGGAAGGGAATACGTGGAGTCTGTCTTTGTTACCACCCGACATGATCGGTTCTTCAACTTTCTTGATCAACAGTGTAAATGGGCGTGGTGGCTGCTAATTAATAAATGAGCCCACCCACGTAGCCATACAATAATTTGCAACTTCAGACAATCATTGACAAAATCGAAAGGCAGACATAAAATGTGATAATAATAATAACAATACATAGTGACAATAATAATTCTTCTATAGGTTAGTACTATACATCATCTTAAATGTTGATAAGGATCGGTTCCGTAAGCACCTCCCTGGGCTTGCTGTTGGCCAGGTCCTGGCTGCCCACCTCCTCCCTGATAGTAAAGATGCTCGTATCCTGGGGCTACAGGAGGAGGTGCCTGATAGTAAGCAGTTCTATAAGAAGGTGGTTCATCTTGAGGTTGAGGCGGGGCCGTCATATACTGAGGCATGGTAGGCACAGGTACAGTGGGCTCTGTGTAATCAAAGACAAGAAGACAAATAGACCATCATTATAAATACATGCAGAAAACACAAAATTATGAATGGGTATTTTTAATTGAAAGGAAGCATGGACTATAGCCCATTTTTATGCAATGTCAATTTATTAGTCAACATATGTACTACCTTTAGCACCAGCAAGCTTTTCATCGAGCCATCTTCTTCGTTTGTCCCCTTCAGGTACCTAAAGCACATGATTATCACGTGATCAACAAGATACTTTCACTTACATGAGATAGCAATGCACTCGCCCATTGCTTCAGCTCAAACTGGAAGAGAAAAGAGAAAGTTTAGCCATCATAACATAGTATGGATTCATGTTTCATGCACTCACTATAGCACTAGACTCGATCAAAAATAAGTGTATTAGTTACTCATTATGCACAAGGAATGCACTTTTGACATAAAGTGACAAGAGAAGGAGTTTGGTTTACCTCTGATTTACACTGAATGTACCATCTATCAAATCCCTTCAGTCCGACCTCTAAGCAGTTGCTTCTATCAGAGAAAGAGTTGGTCTCAGTGACAGAGATAATGTCAGTTCTTAGGACGGTCTTACGAGGAGAAGGAGACTACAGAAATGAATCAAAATAAGATAGAGAACTGACTAGAGAAGTGATTGATTTTACACTAACTAACGTCTTTGGTTTCGTAATAGTGAAAGTACATCTTTTCCAGCTTGAAGTAACGGTTGTCCCATCCTGAGAGCTTGTTCTTATACTTCAATAGGTAGCCTTCTTTCTATCATAAAGGAGAAATGCAACGAGACAAGGAAGAGAATCACTTACTGTAGGTAAAGACATTTTTAGGAGGGGTGGGAATGGGTGTGGCCAATCCACGCCCTTTATTTTAAATTTAAAATTGTAAACTTAAATTTTAAAATTAATGAATTGTATTATCTTATACAGTAAAATTCTAAAGAAATTGATTCGTTTCTCATTTAACAATAAATCAATAATAATAGCAATATGACTATCACATGAGAGTCACATGACTTTTAGTGTTACAAATTGTCTGGCCAATGAAAGGGTGATGGGGGTGGCTGGTAAGAGACAAGAGACCATGTCAACCATAAGACCATTAGCGGTTGCACTAATGCTATTAATAATAGGACATAATTCCTCATTCTGTTAGCGCCATCAACTACATCTGAATGAAGACGTAATCTTAAACTCCTGACCTGCAGACAGAACATGATACATGTAATAATAATAATGACAGACTAATCAATAGCATTGTTTAGCAGTGAACAAATAACCTCTCCACTAACTTCAAAGAAAGCAATGGCTGCAGTTGTCCAAGCCAGTGCAATGTAATAAGCAGTAGTCCCTCCCAATAAACTGGCCACAATACACACAATCATACTATAAAGAGATTAGATGCACTTTGTTTTAAACTCAGCAAATTTTAATGGGTTACCTGACGTATTTGTAGCTACAATAAGCAATTGTGTCTGATAGTGAGAGATGAGACGTTATTTTAAAGAGGAACAGGGCAACCCAAACAATAATGATTTCAAATGTCAACCAAGCTAACAGTGAACTAGCATTAATGCCTAAGTCTTCAGGAGTGAATCTGAGAGGGAGAAAGAGAGAGGGGGGGGGGGGAGAGAGAATGATGGCATATATGCTGTGATTATGATCTCACCTTTGTTGAGTACCCATCACATAACCGGAGAGAAGAAGGTAAGTCATTAAAGACATTGCTAGAAATAAGGTAAAAATAAAAGAACATTAATTAAATAATAATAATAATTTAATACAGGTATAATACAATCTGTCCCAAATATAAATGTACCTGGTATGTATAGATCTGGTGCATTAATGTCCAGTCTTGGTTCAAGCGGGCGTGAGTCTGAATACTGGGGAGACCAGTCCTGATTGAGTGGGTGGAGGAGTTGGTTTAACGGAAAACAATTTCATTCACTTACTCTGTGAGTATAAGGGAAAAGGATGATCTGTAATTTCTTCAGTACATAGCTTGTGTCAACTGCAAAATATCGCTTAAGACCAGGGGCAAACCTACTAACCTATAAAAAGGGAGGAGTGGATTAACAAAAGACTGATTGTTCTCCACTTACAGTTTGATCAATATAAGACTGTCCCATGTTAACAAGGCCTTGTCCATATTGAACAGCTGCTCCAGCTACCATCGGATTAGAGAGAAGACTCTGAGCCGTGCCAAACGTCGCAGGGAATGAGGGAACACCAGCACTACTGTTAAAACATGATACATTAATAATAATTTTTAAATGGATTTCATTGTCACCTTTCAGAATAAGGAGGTTGCGGTTGAGCCTGTCCCTCCAAAGGACTAGAGATACCATATTGATTGCCACCGCTTCCATAAGGACCTTCATTGGAGAAATATGAATGATATTGCTAAGACAATAACCTAACCTTGTGAATAGGACGCCATTTTCTGATAAACTTTTATAAATAGTTTAATGATTTTAATAATTATTATTAATAACTATTAAATAACTTAATTCTAATCAAGGAAACTGTTCTTATTAAAAATGAAAATTAACTACATACAAAAGATCCTAGACTTCTGATTAGCTATTCTCATATTTATCAATAGGATAGTGCTGTCGATATTGCTTAAGGTGATCCCACATTTCCTGTTGCTGTCTTTGAAGACGGACGGGTAGCTGGTCATAAACATCAGTAAACATATCCTTCAATGGCGGCTTCTTGATTTCTCTGGCTTTTTGAAAAGATGCCTATAAAACAAAAATAAATTTAAAAAATATTTCAGTGAAGTACTTTTATGTCGGTATCTGTCTTCTTGCCTAGTTCCTCCTCTTTGTCTTCGTCCCAGAGCCCACGATTCACTAAGTATGATTTGAATCTTATGGCTGGATAAAGAGAAGTTTTCCATAATTCAACATCCTCCATGTTCTGATATAAGGACTGATCATCACTAGTTGAATGACTACCCAGCCTGAAAGAGAGAAGAGAGGTAAGAGCTTGCTACACAACATAAGAACATGTACAAATGCATAATGTATCCCTCTCTCGGTCATTTCAGTTACCTATAAGTCATTGCCTCAATAAGGACAGGCCTTCCTTCTTCCACACAGACTCTCTTAGCATGTCTTGTTGCATTATACATAGCCAGTACATCGTTCCCATCAACTCTCATAGCTTCCATGCCATACCCAACACCACGACACACTATACCATCGCCAGCATATTGGTCCTCGACTGGAGTAGATATTGCATAGCCGTTGTTCCTGCATATGAAGATGACAGGACAGCCCAGTGTAGCAGCAAAATTCATGGCAGCATGGCAGTCTCCTTCCTGAGCTGCCCCATCACCAAAATACACTGCAACACAGCTCTTGGAACCAGAGAGCTTCATACCATAGGCATAACCAGGAGCTTTAGGAAGAAAAATAATTTTAAAAGAGAATGAGTTCTAATTTCTCTTTTTTCATTAATTTCATAAGTGTACCCTCACAAAAGCATTTCTATGCTCTCCTTATATTAACCTTGTGGTATCTGTGTTGCCAATGGAGAGGAGATAAAATGACAATTGATGGACTTGTCTCCATAATGAACAGGCATCTGTCTTCCTTTTCCCTTGTCAAACTTATTAGTGAAGCACTGGTTCATCATGTCATCCATACTGAATCCTCTCCACATCATCACTCCGGCTTCACGATACTGCATGTAAATAACATCATCTAGGTCAAGAGCAGCTGCTGATCCAAAGTGGGTTCCCTCTTCACCGTAGTTCATCATATAGAATGATATCAGACCCTGTAAGGAATCAATAAATCTTAAGATACCCACATGTCTATTCATGTACTATGCATACAGTATGTATATACCATACAAGATGATTTATTGGTGAGAGTAATATTTGGCGAATTTGCCTGTGGAAAGTTAATTTGTGAATTTTATATTGGCAATTTTGTGCCATATGCCATTAAGCATGCTCAAATTGAAACAAAATGGCTGACTTTATATTGGCGATTTCTTCATAAAACTGCTAATTGTCAACATTAATTCCTTGCCAATAAATCATCTTGTACAGTATAGGGTGAAGATTTATACATGATGTAATTCTATGATCATATAGTCTAATGTATTAATAATAATATGATCAGGCAAGGTTATTACCATAGGGTGCCTTTTTTCGAAGGCTATAAATTTTGCAAATTGGCCTAAAATCTATTTTGTGAATTTAATTTTCACGAATTAATGCCGTCTGCCATCTTTTACCATAACAATTTGATTTTCATGGAAGTAATTTTTGCAAATCTTCAAAAAATAGTGAAATCTGCAAAATTTACAGCCCTAAAAAAAGGCGCCCTACGGTATTATGACCAATATTTTTTATATGATGCTGATTCTTGCATTACAAGTTTACAACATACCATTCTTTGTGCCCTGTACAAGTATTGGTCCATTATCTGAAGTGTGCGCATTTGTTTATACATCTTTAAAAGACTGTCAGGATCCAACTAAAGGAATTAAGAAAGCATAAATAACTAGAGGAGTAGAGGTAGTAAGAAAACTTCTACAATTGCCCCATAAGATGGAGTAATCACGGATAATATTACTCTGAGCAATTAGCAAATTAATTTTATTATCCCTTGAAAAATACTGCCCACCTATGGTAAACAGTACCCATTGTACAAAGCTATCTTTTGAGGCAATCCATTCATAACAATCAATGTAGTTATACATGGCAGACAAAACAGCATCAGTAAATATTTCAGTACATGTAAACAATAATTTATGTACGTTAGGGTCTTGTGACTGATCAATGACGACTCCATCACTGTTCATGATACGATAAATAGGTCTCAACTGATCGGTTGAAGCAGGAGTACTAGCAACGGATAGATCAACAGTATAGGGCGGGCCACGAGGACTGTATTCAACCCCATCAGACAATGAAAAAGAGGAACAATGTATGCCTCTTGTCTCCTGCAGGAATAGAGTCCCACGTGTTACTATGAGTAAAAATTACTGAGCTAATACCTTTCTATATATGGCATTTCTATTGAGGGCTCTTCTTCCTGATATGCTGCTTAGGATTGTGAAGAGCTTCTTAGATCTCAGCATCCAATTCGCCATTTTCATTAATTATTTTGAGCCACGCCTTTCTTAATTTTTAATTAGACACAATGCTGGTGAGATGATATTATTATTATTATTATTATTATTATTATTCTTATAATTGTAGGTAAACAAGCTATTAAGGCCTTGCCTGAGGATACACAAATCCACTGCAATTTTTTGTTGCAACAATTTATCGACTGAAGTAAGTTATTTAGTGTGAAACTGCAAACTAATTATAATTACCATTGTCATTTTATTGTTTTCTAACACAGCCAAGTACAAAATCAATGAAAATACAAGAAATAGCGACATGTTTTCATATAGATAAAGGTTCATTTTATGATAGTGTATATTATTATTATCATGACTAATGCTGTTATGTGTAGATTACGCTCTAAAGACTCTAAAAAGAGCATATGGAAATGACTACCAATCAACAAACCGTGAGCATTAATTAGAAATTTCACTAGAGCTAATTTTTATTAGTTATGTCGATTAAGGAAGCAGAGAGGGTCGCTGTTGAAATAGTGAGAAAAATACAGAAGAAGACTCCCCAATTAAAGTAAACGAGAATTATATGCCTCAATATTATTGAGTATTGATAGACCACGCCCACCGATTGTTACAGTGATGGGTCACGTTGATCATGGAAAGACCACACTACTGGATCGATTAAGAAACACTTCAGTGGCAGCCGGTGAACCTGGAGGCATTACTCAACATATTGGAGCCTTCTCTGGTAAATAATAATTTTAATTTCAATAAAAATAGGGGCATAACAATCATTCTTTTTTTCCATGTACATGTAATACGTATATTGAATGCTACTTTAATTATAATTTTTGGAGATAATTTTCTACTTATACACGTAGTTCCAATGGCATCTGGTAGGACCATTACTTTTCTTGATACTCCTGGTCATGCTGCTTTCTCAGCAATGAGATCTCGAGGAGTGAATGTAACTGATATCATTGTACTAGTGATAGCAGCCAACGATGGGATAATGCCACAGACGCTGGAGTGTATTGAAATGGCACAAGAAGCTAAAGGTATTGGGAGTGAAACGTTGTCAAGGGAGGGAAGATTTGAAATGATTTTCATCTTTTTTAGTTCCAATAGTCGTTGCCATCAATAAGTGTGACAAACATGGGGAGAATTCGGTAAGGAAGAAGGCAAAATAAAAATAGAGAGAAAAAAGAAGAAAGATGTGGAGAGAGTTTGTGTGAAATGTACACAGCAGTATGTTATATTCCTGTAAAGTAATGCAAGAATAGAGTACTACATATCTCTTGCATTAATGCATGTACTTAAGACTTTTCTGTTGTATCACATTGTAGTGTACATGTACATGAAGAAAGGAGTTGCATGCTTCTATGCAAAGAAGTTGCATATAGAAGTTTTCTAAATATTACAAATTTATCATTTGACAGGCAAGGATTAAGCAGGAGTTGTTGGATTATAGTGTGCAATTGGAAGAGTTTGGAGGCGAGGCCCAGTGCGTAGAGATATCAGCTCTCACTGGTAAAGGAATGGAGACACTTGAGGAAGCTATACTAATACAATCTGATATGATGAATCTAAAATCTGACCCAAATACACTAGCTGATGGAGTTATAATAGAAACAAAGACAGCTAAAGGACTAGGGTATGAATAGCATTTATTATTATTCTGTCACTCTCTAATCATCAAATTATCTCAATTTATCCTACTTAAATTTTATTTTACTTTTAAAAATTATTATTTTGTTTTGCTGCTCCTTATTGTTTGATGTAGACCAGTAGCAACAGTTCTGGTTCAGAGGGGTACTCTTAAGAAAGGTTGTGTCTTAGTCTGTGGAGACGTTTGGGCTCAAGTGCGTTCAATGTACAATGAAAGAGGAACTCTAATTGATGAAGCACCTCCCTCCACTCCAGTACTTGCTGCTGGCTGGAAGGACCTACCACAAATCGGGCAGGAGTGTTTTCAGGTACTTTAAAGAGTCCCACTTTAAAATAGTATATGTATAACTGCATTGATTATCGTATAGCGCTTTATTTTGGAGATTTTGCTGTAAAATTGTAATTGGTGGTTTTTAATTTGGCAATTTTTGTGTACACGTGCATTACTGAGCATGCACATTAATGATTGGCGGTTTTAATATTGGCGATTCTGCTTGCAAACCGCCAATCACCAAAATAAACTCTGCCAAATTAAAGCGTTATATGGTATTTATTTTAGGTAAAGAGCAGAGCTGAGGCTCAAAAAGTACTTAATCTTTTCAGCGAATTGTGGAGGAGAGACATGGAAGAGAAAGAGAGAGAGAAGATCAGCTTGAAACAGAAAGAAGAGAGGAAAAACGTGAAGAGGGAGGAGAGAGAGTCACGAGGACAAAGAGTTAGAAGGATAACGAGAGTGATACAGGAGGAAAGGAGGGAAAGAGCAGAAAGAAAGAGAAAGGGGAGTGAGACATCACAAGCGTCAGTTATTATTAAGAGTGATGTGGCTGGATCACTGGAGGCAGTGGAAGAGATACTAGTATCAAATCAACCGACTCAAATGAAAGTAGAAATCATTCAAACAGGAGTCGGTAATGTTATTGAAGATGATATTGAAGTTGCTGAAACATTCAAAGGTAATGCACACATACATACATGTACATAGTAAATTCATGCATAGCATAATGCTTTCATAATCATAATATCTATCTTTATAGGTGTAATATTAGCTTATAATGTATCAGTTAGTAAAGCAGTGAGTCAGATGGCAGCTGTAAAGGGAGTAACCATTATCTCCCATAACGTCATCTATAAACTAATGGAACAATTAAAGGTATTAGTGCATAGGCTATAAATGTCATTGAAGCTACACAATATTTTACATTATTATTTTATTGGCGCATTTTCTCTTATCATAACAGGATTGGTTACAGGACCAACTCCCCACAGTGACAGAGACTGAGGTGATAGGAGAAGCAGTGGTACTCAAAGTGTTCCAACTGGGTGGATCCAAAGCTGCAGCAATAGGAGGCTGTCGTGTGAAGAAAGGACAACTGGTCAAAGACGGGATTTACCAGTTGATGAGAGGAAATGAAGTAATACATGAAGGGAAACTGATTAGCATGAAGAGAAATAAAGATGACATTCAGAAAGCAGCAAAGGAAACCGAGTGTGGACTCTGTTTTGAGATTGATCCAGGCTGGGAGGAAGGGGACACTGTGGTCTGTCTCAAAAGAAAACAAGTCCCACAAACTTTAGAATGGGATTTAGGATTCTGAGCACTTTACACGCATCATAAAAATATTTAAAAATTTCCATTCTATATGAAACGTTAGATTGCCATAACTTTGCTTTGCACGTGATCAGCTTCACTCTTCATATCACAAAGTGTTTATTATAATTAAATGAGTCGGGTTGCCGTACATGCAATAATGAGCATAGAAACATTATTAAAATTCTATTCAGTTCCTTTCCTGATATCTTCATTGTCATCCTCTGCCACTGTAGTATCACCACTATTACTGGATTCATCAGGTACCATTGTTCTACTACTACTAAGTCCATCACTGGTGCTACTAGGCATTAGACCTTCATTAAAAGTAGCTGTAACTTTAATCAACGGTGCTGCTCTCTCCTTCTCATTTCTTGTTTCTAACTGTTCAAGCCAGGTCTTTGCCCTACCCTCCATTAACAATAACATCTTCTCTTTCATTTTCGTACGGTAGAGCTCAAACTCTTTCTCCAGTGCTTGACGGTTCATGACTGACTCCCTCAGTTCAGTGTGAAGTGTTTGAATGACTTCCTCTTGTGAGGCTATCCTCCCATAAAGGAGGAACACCTCCTGCCTCAGCCTCTCCATTATACAGACCTGCTCATAGTGGCTTGCCATTGACATTACACGCCTAGGGGAAATATTATCATCATCATCATCATCATCATTATTGTTATTATTATTATTATCGTCATATCATAATCATTATCACAGACCATGTTTTAATTTGTCCTTCCATTGCTTCAAGTGATTTCAGTGATCCAGAGACAGCAGCTACAGAAAAGAGAGAGAAGAGATGGACATCAATCATCAATAGGATAACGCATACCTGAATATGGAGGGACATAAGCCATTAGTGTACTGTTCTCCCAATAATCTGATAAACTCCTACATAATTAATATAAGTATAAAGATCAGTTTCATGCTACAACCAAAAGTGTCTCTAAGTAAATGCAATAATTGAAAAAAATCCAAGTCTAGGAACAAATGATACATACACGTGTGAGTTGCTTTAGGGTAAGGCCTCTATCTATACACCCACCAACACTATACACGTGTATATAACACAAACTATACTCAGCTAATGATTGAATGAGACCTACTTGTGTCTAGCAGTAATGATAGGGTCAGCCGTGAATCCGAATTGAGAGAAGAAACCTTCAGCTTTATGATCAGCATAAGTGAGTATCAGGTCATACTGTCCCACTATTGATGGGTCTTTACAGAGACGGAGGAGGTACTCCCCAATACCACACCCTCTCCAACGATGCCTCACAGCAAGCAATAGTATCTGAACTGAGGAGTCTCCTGGTTTACTATAAGAAATAATGTCAAATTAATTCAAGTTCATTACTGAGTTCATTATTTTGTTTGTTCTTTTTATTGAAGCATCTCCTCACCCACACATAAGCACAGTGAGGCTAGTATAGGTGCATTTGTTTAGGTTTCTATGTACATGTGCATCTACATGTACATATCTTTGTTTTAAAGTCTCGTTATTTTTACCTTGATAATTTCATAAAAGTAGCACATCCAGTGATTTGATCCTCCATACCAACTGATGCCAGATCTATTGTATATAAGAAAAGAACATTAACTAAAATTACCACTATAATTATGATTACATTGCTTGACATGCAGGCCTGGTTTACCACAAAAGCATAAGTAAGTGATACAACATGCTCCATGAGCTGACACTATAATAGTACAGTACATGAATTTTGGAGCAACTTTAAATTGTAAAATCCATTTTGATCGGAATCAGTTCAAACTTTCTACACAACATAAGAACATGTATTTGTATCAAAAAAAATTATAAAAATGGAAAATTCTCTCCTAGTCATTTTGGACACAATTTGGCCCTGCACTATAGTACAGGGCCTTTTAAAGCAACTTTAGAAAATTCCAAAAAAAACAATTGTGTTCAGAAGCTATTATCATACCAAAAGGATCCATTGACTGTCTCTCTTTAACTCTGGATAGAAACTTCTCCCTCTCCAATTCGAAATCTTCCCCTTTCTCTTCCTCGCCATCACCCACTTCCTCCTCATACTCTTCCTCTTCCCTACAAAAGAGAGAGAGAGAGAACACATAAAGAAAGGAAAGGACTGTAACTCTAGAAATGACATACATGTATATGCACCAGAGGAGACCAAGCTGATTAAATATCCTTTTAAAAATGACAACCTAGCTCCCTAGTACTTACGTACATACCCAATTCAATTGCAAAGATAAAGCAAGGGAGTGTGTAAGAGAATGATTCTTACTCATCACTAAAGAGGCTGCAGTAAGGATCCTCCTCTTCTTCTCCATCCAGTGTAGATACTTTAGAAGTTCCAGTATTCTCTTTGTCTGAGCTCTTTTCCTTCTTTTCATTGTTCTCTATCACTTTAGTGTCTTTGATTGGTTTAGGTGGGCCATGCTCCTTGCGATAAGTGAGGACAGCTGTAAATAAAACAGAAAATATACAATGAGCAAAAGGTTGAGTTTTACATGTATAATACACACAATCAAGATATTCATTTACAACATTGCTTTGCCACATTTGCACTGTTCATTCATTAATATTGACGCATAGTTATAAAATCACTACTATTTTTCACACCTTCTTTCTTTGCCATAACAAACACAGTCCTGGAGGGCTTATTGTTTATTGTATCGTAAATAGCCTCCAGCTCCATATCAGGCAATGCGGCTGAGTATAGGGCAACCATAGAATGAAAAAGATCCCCTGGGTTGAACACTTGAGGTAAAGAAACACGAAGAAAACGAGTTTCCTTTTTTCCTTTGACTGCTCCATCTTCTTCAGTAGTTCTTAATCTCCTAAAGTTAACCATCATAACACTGCATGGTACTATCCGCCGACCATCACGAGAGGAGAAAGAAGTACTTTCACTCAAAACGTCCACCATTTTAAACAGGCGTGGTTTAATATTAATTTGTCACGCCCACAATTTTTTGTACTGTACTTTCTGTATTTCTCCGTAAACTCAAAACACGTGCTTGGAAGAGGTCAAAGAGAAATGCAGCAGGTGGATGAAGAAAGGGTCTTGTTATTGAAAGCTGTAAGGCTGAAATTAATCATATATGATATAGAATTGTTATCAATAGGTTAGTCTTTGCAAAAGCCTTCAAGATGAAGTGACAGTACTTATGAAAGACGTGAAAGAATTTATTAATGAAGAAGATCAAGCTCCTCTCTTTGTAGAACCTCATCTATTTAAACAGGTGCCACTAATTTGTATTGCAAATGATAACAAAAGTTTGTAACGAACCAAATGGTGTGCTTGTTTCAAGTTGCATGAGCTACAGGCTGGCACTGCAGTGTCAACAGTATAAGTTTATAACTAACATTTTTTTATTGATTTAGTATACAATAGTAAGGCAGTGTGATTTAGAATCCATTAAAAGTGAAGTCATGAAGATGAAAGATTTCATACCAAACATACTCACTCCATCTTTATCAATACTACCTCAGCTCACTCAAACAGAAAAAGGTGAATCGATTTTTGATTCAGGGTTGTAGTGTAGTAAAATTATGAGTTATTGTTCTTTGGTTTATAATACTCTTATTTCTGTATGTATCAGTGTTCTTATGCTGTGTCTAAAGTTTGAGGCCTTGAGCTGATTTTGGTCATGCATATCATTTGTATTTTTATAACACTAGCATACATAACTAATTGAAAATAGAAATACATTTAGTTGTACATGTACATCTGTTTATGTTCAGAATTAGTTTCATTGAGACAGCAAGCAGACACACTAGCAGTTGAGAAGAATAATGTAGAACAGAAAGCTGAAGGTTATCTTGTTGACTATGAGCAAGAGAAACAAGAAAACTTTGAACTTAAGGTAATGAGAGCAGAGCAATATTATAATTTTAAGAATCCTATTTTTAATGTCCAGTGTTCTTTGAATGAAGTGAAGGATCAGTTACAGCAGCAAGTCAATTATTGCTCTTCATTGGGTTGTGTCTGTGGTACAATGCTATGGAGGACATCTCAGAATGAAGACTGTATACAGAATTTACTCTCTGGAGTAAGAATACTAATATTGTGTAGCTCTTATGCACCTTTTTATTATGATCTCTTTTTCTAGTCTAGAGTTAATGATTTTCTACAATTGGTATCAGCCACACTGCACAGCTATCTATCAACTTATAATAGTGACTTACCTAGCGAGTCCAGTCAAGAATCTCAGTTTGTCATCTCCCTTTGTGGTACTGTTACCAGTTAGTTCTGCCTAAAAGTATTTATATTTAATACTGTAATTATAATTTTAGATATTGCAGCATCTGCTTATGGAAGAGAATATTTGTCATCTTGTCCTGAAGGACAGGAACTGTTGAAAAACATGTGCTCAGTACTGGCTACAGCTCCCCTCTCTCAAGGATGGTAAACCTTAAAATAATTATTGCTATGATTATTTTGTATTATTTTTATGTCTCACTTGTAGTGCTAAAATTAAGAGGTTAGTTTTAAAATGTTAATTTATATTAGCTTAATGGTCTTTTTTATCTATAGTCTCATTCTTATGCTCCTCTATAACATTAGGTACCTAATAATTTAATAATAGATACCGGTATAAAGTTTCTGTATAACATACTAATTTTTATAGTATTAATCAAAAAGGACTAACATTATTAAGATCTGAACCTGATCTACTGAGAATATTAATGTGGCTAGCTAAAGGTAATAGAATACTTTTAATATCTTTGCATGTACATTGTATCATGCCATACAAGATGATTTATTGGTGGGAGTAATATTTGGCGAATTTGCCTGTGGAAAGAAATTGGCGAATTTTATATTGACGATTTTGTGCCACGTGCCATTGAGCATGCTCAGATTGAAACAAAATGGCTGATTTTATATTGGCGATTTCTTCATAGAACCACCAATTGCCAATATTAATTCCCCGCCAATAAATCATCTTGTACGGTATGTTGCTGTTCTGGCATATGCCTTTATTCCTGGGATTATGCGAGTTTAGGATTTTATTAATTTTCATAAATCTTTTCTAGATCTGCCCTAGTCAGGCGTGGCTATATCTTGTTTCTAAAATTACTGTGTATTATTTTTTAAATCATCATTATTATTTTTTAATTATTGTTAGAGGATGTTTGCAGTACAGTGTCATTGTATTGTCTCCAGTTGGTACAGTCACTTATCCTTGAGCCATTGACTCCAGCACTAATGCAACAAGTAATGGAATCAGTTACTCCTGAGCTCCTACAAGAATTTGCTTCTTCTAAAAGTGAAGAGGTATTTTATTATGATATTGGCATTTTTATTTGTTTTTCTTTCCTTGCTTCCTCTCACATGATCCCTCTTTCTCTTTCATTGTTTTGTCACCCTCTCTCATACTATGTAGTTTAAGCAAGTGGCTTGTGAATTGATGGTGGATATTCAAAGGCTCCAATGACAATACATTCTGCATTATTGTATAAGTTGATAACTATTTCTACTAATATTGATAATAAGTCACCAAAAGTCATGTACATTATCTGTTACAACTGATGAATAATACTAATATCTGTTACAATTAAAAAGATGCACTGAGGTGTTGCAGGCTTGCAGCATGATACATTGTTGTGTAACACAGAGAGAGAGAGACTGTCTCAAGACTTCTCTAGAAACAACAAACAAGAGTGCATAACACTCTTACCAACGCTTAAGGTGGGCACCCACTATGCAACTTTGTTTCCAGTGGCTGTGCAATATGTTGCATGAAGTTGACCACATCAAATCATCAAAGGCTTAACCGCAAGATGCAAGGACATCAAATCACGTGATGTATTTATTTCTGAAGTTCTGCCCCTTTTCAAAAAATGGTTGATCTTTCCCAATGGAGAGCCTGTATTGGCCTGTGGAATAGCTGTAAGACTGCTGCTTCTAGGTCAACTCAATTTCACCATCCAAGTTTGTGTAAAACTGTGGCTAGAGACAAGTCCAGCAGTGTTATATCTTTGTATCTGATTGCCGCTTTGGTCTACATTAGTTCAGCTATTCTCGGCTTCCTGAGTAATGTAGATCTAGCATTTTTACTTTTTCCAGGTTGGTAGCTCTATAATGTTGTAATAATACTAATTATCAATATCTGTATTAATTAGGCATTATTGCTCGTTGCTCCTCAGCACACATTTGTCTTGTCTTGGCTGGAGGAAGGGCTTCCATTTTAGTTTGTATTTTTCTGTATCTGATTGTCCGTCTACTTCTGTTCTTGTCTGGAGATATTGAACTCAATCCTGGTCCTTTAACAGGTATGTATATGAATCACTTCAATTTATTTTAACTATAATTATAGGTGACCCTAAGGAAACATTAAGGATATGCTCTCAAAATCTTGTTAATGCAATTTCTACCACACTTCTTAAAGTGACAAATGCACTGTATGCTAAAGAGCTAATACCACAGGAAACTAAAGAAGAAGTTCATTTACCATCATTTACACCTTATAATAGAGCTAGCATACTGGTGATTGCCATTGAAAAACAATTGGAGGCCTATTCTGATCCAAATCGGTATTTAACTGATGTGTTTAATGCATTAAGGAACCAAGGGAATCGGGCACTAACAGATCTGGTCAATTCTATCTTAGGTAGGTATGTAAACTAGATATTTGCTATAATGAACAAAATTATAATCATGAAGAGCCTTGCAATTTATATCATGTATAAAGTACATGCTGGCCATTAGGGTAATTTAGGCCTAATTTATGTTTTCTGAGGAAAATATAAATGTCCTGGACTTATTGGATTGTGATTGTATTGAGTTGAAAAAAGGTGTAATTAAATAAAGCTCACTTGAACCATGATTTTAGGGATTATATTTTAAAGGGATACTGGCGCAGATTACGGAAGAGCTAGTACACGGAAAGTTTATAAACAAAAAAATGGCTGCGGGTTTATATCTTGTAATATAGGAACAGTTTTTGCTCTGATTCTTGCTTCTGGAGCTCTGATACTTCAACAAATGATGCTTTATGTTTATCTCAACCAAATTCAGAGGTAAGCACTTAACTGCATTTTCTTCATCAAGTTTGCCATCCTTAAAAGGCTAGTGTCTTTTTGACGGGTGAGTTTGACCGTGTAGGCTGTGTTTGCTAGAGTCCATATCTTTCTGAGCTCTTCTCTGGCCTTTATCTGACTTCTTAACCTAGCAGGACTTTCTCTCTGTTCTTCTGCATGTCAATTATAAACGCTCAAAGCCTCTGCATAAGTTCTGCCATTTTTCTTTGACGAAATATGATTTTTGGTCCCCAAAAATTATATTTCGTCATCAATTTTACAAAAAGTGCATGGATATTCGTACACAGCGACAGTATCCCTTTAATTGAGGGTGTAAATATTGTCCACGATAAATTTTTGGGGAGTAAATTTGCTATCCACTCAAGGCTAATATAATTATATGCAATTGTATGTAGGGTATAATTATCTAAAATGTCATGTTATTTCTCCACAATAGATCAATTGTTTTATTTAAATGGCTTAACGCTTAACCCATGCTGGCAATAATTTCAATTTCTTGATTTTTGGCAAAAATTAATTTCATGCATAATAAAAAATATAATTTGTTAAAATTTAGATTTATAATTTTTTGGTGAAGCCCTTGGTGATGAAGTGCACCACCTGTACAGATTGACCATAGGGTCGTCTAACTATTATTCAAGTTAAATAAACTAATCTTTATGATGATTGCATGGCTAGGGGGCAGAGCCCCTTAATGTTTTAACATTCTTCTAGTGCAATATGAATGTACTATTATAGCGCTTGTATTATTATTTGTTATTGATAGGTCAGTCTGATAAAATTGAACCATACCCTGATTGTGTTAAAGAATATGCTGATATTTTAAAACAACGCCGCTACAAAAAACTAAGTATTATTGGTACAGATTGGCCACCAAAAGTTGGAAATGATGATGTTTTTGGAAGACTAGCGCTTATACAGCAAAAAGATAACTCAACTTTTCATCAAGATGATTCTGTTCCTCAAAAAGACACATTCACTCAGCAAAAAGAGTCATCAGATTTGTACTTGCTACGAGGACAAGTAGATGAAGCATGTCATTTCGCTGGAAATGAAAAAGTTGATATTAAGGATATTCTAAAACCTACAATAATGGATTGTATAACATCTCTTATAGTTCTAATAGATGGTCCTCCTGGCATTGGAAAGACAACACTCTGTCGTAAACTTCTACATATGTGGTCTGATGGAGAACTTATTCCGCATTATGACTTGGTACTTTATTGTCCTTTGAGAGATGAAAAGATGGCCAAAGCTAAAACATTAGAAGACCTATTTGTGCCTCAACGTCATAATGTTCCTGAGATAGTTGATTTGTTTAAGGGGTGTAATGGAGAAGGGATGTTGATAATTTTTGATGGTTGGGATGAATTAAGTGAAAACCACAGACACTCTTCATTAGCTGCTAGTATTATTCGTAGGGAACAGTTAGACCAATGTTCAGTAATTGTTACCTCTCGTAGCTATGCCTCCACTTCACTTATAAAAATGTCTTTTTTCAATAAACATGTTCATGTAATTGGATTTTCTAAGGATGAAATAGCAAAAGTAATTATACAAACACTTCAAAAAGATGAAAAATTAGCACAAGAACTCATTGCAGAAAATATTGATCATGGTAAATTTTTCCGATTTGAATATGAAAAATCTGTTTTTTTCAAAGTCAAAAGTACTGATAGCAGTGAGGAGTCAAAACTAGCAGTGAAGCTAATTAATGAACTTAAAGTACAAAGTGATGTCCAATCATTATGCTTTATACCGTTAATCTGTTCAATCGTCATTTTAGTGTATGATACAGAAAGACAACTTCCAACAACACTTACTGAACTGTATGAGAACTTTATTTTACAAACTATCAACAGGCAAAGAGAAAAGGATGGTGATGATCCACAGGCCCTAGACAGCCTTTGTTCATTACCAGTAGAGTTAGTTAAACCTTTTGAACAAATTTGCTATTTTGCTTACAGTAACCTGGCTAACACAGTAATGACATTTTCCTCGATACAAAATATGTCAGCAGCCAAGGGCAATAATTATTTTGGACTATTAACAACTTTGAAAGATTACAGGAAGAAAAAGTATCAGTTTCTTCACTTAAGTATTCAAGAGTTTTTGGCAGCATGGTGGATATATAAGCAACCGAACCCAGAACAGATATTTCACACACATTTGGAAAATGACCACTTTCGAATGTGTCTGAGGTTTGTGGCAGGCCTAACCAAACTTAGTCCACATGAGAATTATGAACAATACTTCAATAAATCAATTAACTTACAGTGCAAAGCAAGAAGTTTATTTGGATTTGATGCTCGATATCAGTCCTACTTCCATATTAATCCGATAGTTGATCATATCCATCATGATAACTTCCTTACTTATGTTGATTGTTTTTCTATTCTCCTCCTTCATCTCCTTTACGAATCACAAAATAAAGAACTATGCCAAACATTAGCACTATCCATTAGAGATCAATCAATTTGTCTTCATGCATTACAATTTTCACTATTTGATGTATTGTGTCTTAACTATTTTCTTAATGTCAGCAGTACTACCTGGGACCATCTTCACCTCATGCCATTATATCAAGATGAACTATCAGTATTGACCAGCATATTGAGCACAAAAAGACTAGATGTACATTTTTATGGACTCACCAAAAACACAATACAACAATTAAGAAATATTCAGGAGTACTACATTGAAATATCAGGTACTTCTTTATACACATGTGATGTACTTGTACAAATCCTTAGTTTTTCCGCACAAATAAAAATACTGCACTTGAAAATGAATGAAAAAATACAAAAATATAATATGGAGCATTGCTGTTGTTCTGATCTTGAGAGATGTTTAACAGAAAAAGCAACTCTACAAGAATTCAATGTTGATCATAAACAACACAATCCATCTCGTTATGCTGATATCCAAGAAAAAATTGATGTTCATGAAAGAAACATATTCAATACTATCATTAAAGGAATACGTAAGAATACAAGTATAACATTTCTTTCAATACATTTG